TGCTATGGCGTATGCCAAGTCCAGTGCATATGTTTTCAAATATTTGACTAATGATTTGTTTACCGTTATCGCTAAGGACCTTTATCGGTGCACCGTATTTTAAAATGTATCTGTGTAAGAATGCATCTGCGACTGTTTTGGCTGACGCGCGTTTAAGTGGAACAATTTCTGTCCATTTTGAAAAGTGATCTACAATTACTAAAAGAAAACGATTTTTCTTTAACTCGCTCTGGGGGAAAGGACCAAGAATATCTATGCCTAAAATTTCATTCGGAAATGTATCCCAAATGCTATTTAATTACCTGGCCGGGCTGTAATTAATATCATTTATTAACTGACATTGATTGCAGGACCTGACATACGCAGTTACTATTTTGTATAATTGCGGGAAATATACCGCATCGCGTACCCTTTTTAAAGTCTTTCTGACCCCTAAATGACCCGCTGTTTTCGCGTCGTGTAATTCCTGCAAAATGCTTAATCGAACGAGGCTGGGATGACTGGTTTGTACTCGAGATTTTCGTTTGTTGTTTTCGTATAAAATAATAAATTATCTATTATTTCATAGTTTTTCTGCTCTATTTCTTATCACATCGATATCTGTATGTTCAAAGCTTTCGGGGTCTTTTCAAATATGCATAGATACTTCCAAATTCAGGATCAGCTTTCAGTTCAGCGATAATTTTATCTCTAGAATCTAAAATTTTTTAAGTCAACACAGCACATTTAAGTTCATTACCTTCATCGTCCAGTTTTATATGAGAAATTGCGTCAGCTACATAGTTTTCCTTACCCGGTTTATATTTGATTATTAGATTATATTCTTGGAGTTTTAAAGCCCATCTTATTAACCTGGGCGTTAGGTTTTTCCCCGAGTAAAGTCTACCAACAGCCGCATGATCCGAAAAGACTGTTACTGGCACTTTGCCGAGATAAACTCGAATTATGTGTACAGCCATTAATACGGCTAATGTTTCTCTCTCTGTAGCTGTATAATGCCTTTGTGTTTATTCAACGTTTTACTAAAAAATGCCAAAGGGTGGCTATTTTGCATAAGAACCGCACCCACAGCATAGTCCGATGCATCTGCTGCAATTTCCAGGTTTTCGTCCCCCTCCGGGAATTTCAAAACAGGGGCATTGATGATCGTTTCTTTTAACCTTTCAAATGCGGTATTTGCTTCCGCTGTACACGTAAATTTACTCTGCTATCGTTTAATTACTAACAGTGGTTCAACAATATTAGCGAAATCTTTTATGAATGACCGATAGTAAGAACATAACCCAAGGAAAGAAGAAAGTTTCTTGGCGGTGTTGGGCGGTGGGAAATTCTTGATTGCTTTTATTTTTGAATCTTGCGTTTCTATACCCTTTTGCAAAATTTTACAACCCAGATATTTAAGTTCTTTAGTTGCGAACTTGCATTTTGAGGCGTTAATTGTAAGACCGGCCTCTTTTAAAAATTTAAACACTTCTTCTAGATCTTTAATATGTCGTTCCAACGTACTACTCGTTATAATTATATCATCTAGATAGATTAAAGTCGATTTTCCTAGGACAGGCTTTAGAACAATGTCCATAGCTCTCTGGAATGTTGATGGGGCCCCACACAACCCAAAAGGCATGCGTAGAAATGCATAAGTGCCCGATTTTGTTATAAACGCGGTTTTGTGTATGTCTTCGGGTCTCATAGCTATTTGATAGTAGCCAGACCAAAGTAGTCATGTATCTAGTAGATTTAATCTTTCTAATAATTTCCTCTATAACCGGCAAAGGGTAAACTGGGAATTTAGTAATACTATTCAGTTTTCTGTAATCGATAGCAAACCTCCAAGCCCTTTTATCCGAAGGAGGAATCTCGTTCTTTTTTCTGCATAGTAAGACTGGACTCGCGTACTCACTATATATGGGCGTTATTATTTTGTTCTTTAACATTTCCTGAATATGTTCCTCGATGATTAGGTCTTTTTGTTTATCATAACGATACGGTTTAGTCCTACAAGGTTTTTTGGCAGTTAACTGTATCTCATGCGTAACTATTTGACAGCTACCAGGCCTTTCTGAAAACAAATTTGAAAAAGTACTCACCAGTTGCTGGATGGCTTGGACTTTCATGGTCATTCAAATGGCTAAGGTCAACTTGCGGTTGTTCCACAGGCTCCACCACCCTCCGATCCATCTCCAGCATGCAATAGAATGTCCTGAAAATTCAATTTGGCCCTTCGCGGCCTTTAAAAACTCCATACCTAAAATAAGACTGGATTTTGCAAATTTTTCACTACAAAAATTAATACTTTGAGGCTTTCATCCTTTTACCTGTATGTTTTAATGATAATTTCCCGATGCATTGACAGTTTTTTTCCTTTGCGCGCCGCTATAATTTCTCTGTTTTTGTTTTTTAAATAATCGTAATTTATAAAAATTCTTTTTGAAAAATGTCTCACTCATAAAATTACCTTCTGCTCCTGTATCGATGAGGGCTTCTACTGGTACATCGCCAACCAGGACTTGTATAATTGGTAGATGTGAGTTCTTTACGATGACCGTATTTAAATGTCTTTTTGAGGGTTTTTTTTAAACTTTCGGGGTCTGGAACCTCGCTTTCACAGGCCCCTCTACTCGTTTAAAGCTTTCCTTTCAACTTCTGCCTTCTGGGTACGCGGACGTTTGTTTTCGAATTTCCTTTTTGGGACTTGACCTTCGAGGTTCGATGAGTTAGCTTGATAGCTCTTTCCCCCATAAGAGCGGTTTGCATTTTTAAGGTCTGCTCATTTGAAGATTAAACACAAATTGCCTTCGGAGTACTTTGAGAATACGATGCCCCTCTAGCTTTTTTCCGCTATTCTGCGATTTTGGAACTTGACCGCCAATTCGAAGAGCTTCCTGCAATGTGCTTGGGTTTCTAATTTCAATTTCGAAGTAATCTTGAACAGCAGGTAACAATCTTGGTAAGATTATTTCAATAATCTCCGCGTCGGGTTTCTTCCCATACAGCATATCCGTCAGCTTAATTTTTCGCAGAATAAAGTCCGTTAATTCTTCTATATCCCGTTGATAGAAACTATATAGTTCGGCTTCTAGCCTTGCTCGATCTTTCACTATGGGGAAGGCCTTTACTAACGATTTTTTGAAATTTTCAAATGTATATGTCTGGCTTCCGAATTCCCCTAATAAATATTTGCCTATATTCTTCCACCATAGCGCGGCCTGTCCTCTTAGTGCAGATGTGGCGTGACAACTTTTTGTCTTTCAGGCACAGGGTAGAGTTGAAAGTAATTGTCGATGCTTTCTAGAAATATCGCCACAATTTTTTCCGTCGAAATTGACATTTGGCTTGATTGACGCTCTCAACGTCTGGACCAGGTATCCAAATCCTTCCAATTGGCTCGCCATTTCTTGTTGTTGTCCCGCGGCTTCCATCCGATTTTCGGCCATTTCAGTTCGACAAGTGTTCGGGCGCCAATGTAAAGTTGCGCGCCTCCAACCTGCACGCACCAAAGTGGTGACGGCTGAAACTGGAAATTAGACAGAGTCTTGAGAAGGGTTTAAGTCCCTTTTTATTCAACTTTAGAAGTTACAAATGCGTGCTCTTGACGCTCACAAACTACGCCGACCCGGCGGTAAAATAAAAATAAGAACCTGAAAAGAAATAATAACAAGAGACTTACTACGAGGCTCTCTAAACGTAACTAACCTCACGGCGTTCTAAAGTACCGCTGATAATTCAGCAAACTCTGAATATTACGTTGAAAGATTAAATATTTGCCGAGGCAAGCACATAGGCCGAAACGCGCGGTTCTTCAATTTCTAACTAGCCACCTCCACACTCTTGAAGCAAGAAAGCACACTTCGAACTCGTTTCCTTTCTAATTAACTCAGAATACTTCCGCTGATAAATTTGAATCCTTGCGCGTTCTACTAAAATTTACATACTCTGGCATTGGCAGTTCCAGGGGAAAGTAAGGCTTGACAGTAAAGATAGTTTAAACTTAGAATAAATGTTAGTTAAAATAAACATAAACATCGATCAGGTACTATATGTGAACCATCACATAAATATCTAACAGATTGTGTTGAAAGATTAAATTTGAATTCGTAAGAATATTTAACTGCTAGCCTTTCCGCTTCTCATACGCGATTCTGTTATAAAAATATCAGAACTGGCCTTTCTTATACAGCACATTCTTGTATTGACTTTCGGGGTCTGGAAGTGTATTGACTTTCGGGGTCTGGACCTATTCAGTTTTCGTTGAATATTATAACTACTGTAAGACTGCCGGAATTTTATGTGTTTTATTCAAAATTTATCAAAGATATTAGGAAACTGCTTAGACCTCTAGAAGTCCCTGACAACACCAAGTCTATTAGACGAATTTCATACATGCGGATGCAGATGGAGTTTTTTCTGTAACCTCCAATATTCACCGATAACCAAAGTTAAACATTTTGTTTTTTCATACACATATGTACTTATTTAACGTTTCTATTACGTATCGTTAACCCTAATTTACTGCAAAGTTCAGGTGAAATTTTTGCGACATATAAAATTATATAAATTAGTATGATATCTATATTGGTGATCTCTTTTTTAACATTAATTTTAACTGATTATTCACGTTTTAAAAACTAGTTTCATAACATTGTATGATACTTACATCACCGTGTTAGCTAATTCGTATTTTATTTTACTATTTAATGCTTTCAGGAAAATTTAGAAATTAGGATAACGCTTTCCAGTCACCTGTATGCAAAGCATAATAACTTCTCAAATTCCTTGAAAAATATGTTTAAAATAGTTATATTTTTATTTATGGTAATTACCTCTTAAGTATTATAAAGAAAGACTGCATTTTATTTATAAAGGAATATTTTATGCAGAAAATTAATGTTACTTTCACATTCATCACTGCACATGTTATATACGTAGCATAATTTCTCAACTATATTACTGAAACTATATTTGTCTTAAATTTTATTTTTGAAATAAATATGAAATAATACCTGTAACGGTCCGTCAGGTATAGCTTCGACTCTCAGAGAGCTTCTTTCTTCACATGAGGCAACTCGCACATTTTCTACGCTGAGCCACATTTCTTCCACAGTGTTTCCCAGGAATCTAAGTGCTTTACGAAACCATGTTAAGCACATGGAAGCCACAGCACGACCAATGTTTTCCAAAAGTTTGTCTTCAGAAGAACCTGAAGAAAATTTTAATCTTCGTTTTACTTTACTTAATGAAATATAGTTTTAAGACATTTTGCATTTTACAGTCAAGTGTATAATAAAGACTGATTAAAATAAGCGTTTTTCCTTTCTTATAAATAAAATATTTCATGGACAGTCTTGCATGAATACTAATTAAAAGTTTTCGGCCATTTCAACTTCAGAAGCAATAAAAAACAGCTTTGAGATAACATACGTTTGCTTTTACTTCAGTATTTTAAAAGCTCTTAGCAGTTCTCTTTTATGTTAATATCTGTAATAAATATTTACAATTATGTTAAATTTTTAACGAAACTAATGTTCATCACGCAATTTATAAAGGCAGAGTACTTACACACCCTTGCTTCTGTTCTTAAAGCTCATCTGACATACTGAGTCCTCTCAAAATCTAATGAGCAGGAAAATAACGCAACATGAGGAGAAGTTATTTCTGCATTTCAGAAGTCGTTCTACAGCATATCATCATATGGCCAATGTCAAGACATCCCTAACCAAATATGGCTGCATCCCTGATTATTTTCAGAAAGTCAAACTTTGCGAAAGCGATTTAAGTACTTGCAAGCAAAGAGAAGATGCACCACGCAATATTTTCAACTAGCCATCTATAAATTACATTCATATATAGAAATTAAATCAATGCATGCTAATGTCTCTCTAAGACATGTTGCAGTCTAACGCTGTACCAAATATCCTAAGATTACCGAGTATATTGACCACATGGAACATAATCGCTCCGTAGAGTGCTCATAGTTACTCTCTGACTTGCTTGAGATGTTGCAAAACTTATTACTAAGATGCGAATGTGCATTTACTTAAATTTACTTGCTTTCTTAATTATTATTAAAAATAATTATTTTCTGTACAGAGCTTTCATTTCGTCCAGTCATGTCAATATGAATTAGCTGTCATGTTTTTAGCATAATATGCGATAGCGAAATTCAGTGGTTGATTCCCACCATGATTCAAATTATTTATTGTATTTAAGGATACAATTCTCAAAGCGAAAGTTTTGGCAGCATTCATTGACCGTCTTGCTACTTTGTCTACCAGCTTTTGAATTACCTAAATGAGATTTAGCCTTGCTAGCCGTAATTGCTCCCATAAGTTGAGGTCTTGGGCTAAAACTTGTAGATGCACTTTCTACTGCAAATTTTACATTTTAATGCTTTGAATTTAGGTTTTATTTAGGTTTTAGGAATTTGGGTTTATTTTAGGTTTGTTTTCGTTATTTCCATCAGCTATGAAGAATCGTTCTGTTATTATTCGGGCTACTTAATTGCAAGGCAGACGAACTGACAAAAAGTTTATTTTAAACCACCTTCTGTGTTGTAGTTACTTAGAGGGTAAAGACGGGGTGATAAGTGGCCCGACTGTCTTCAAGGAGCTGGAGATTAGCATTTAAACTAGTTTACGTTCCTTACAAAGCGTTAACCAGATTTCACATCTTTTGACACTTATTTTAACATTCATCTGCTAGTTTGTTTCATAGCAGCAAGATTTCAGAAAATTTTCAGTACTTTTTACAGTATTCACTATATTCAGTATTATCTTACACTACTTAACCACTTTACTTCTAACAAGCGCTAGTTAGTTTTCACATTTCTTATATTGATACATTAATGTAGCAAATAATGAACATGGATCAATTGTTCTTTCAATTGTGAAAAAGAAACAATTTTAAGCAGCTAGCTTTCAATAAGGGAAGAGACCTGAAGTGTTCTAAATTTTTAACTAGTGTTATCCTTGCCTTACTAGAAGTTTACATAACTATTTAATTGCTATTAATTAAATATGCCTACTTACAGATTAAACATTTGCGAAGTTTTTGTGAATAATATTAGAAATTTTACGCAAAAAAACAGTATAAACATGCGAATCATTGACTCCATTCAAATTGTAAAACATAAAAGTAACCATGTATTTCATGAAAATTAGTAAAACAATCATAAAGAACATTGTATACGTTTCTCAGTGGAAATAAGCATGCTTATTTACAAGGACAGCGTATAGATAAAATGCAGCTAACTATCTACTCAGAGTACTGCAACTTGATAGTTGATAGTAAGTGTACAAACTACGGCAATATAAAATCCTTATATGTAGGCCATTCTAACCATCCTTTGTATTCATTTGTCTCAATAAACGTAAGAATGAGAATCATATCTTCCTTCTTATATAGGGTGATTCTAAATTGGTTTTGAAAATTAAGAGGGGTGATAGCACTCATCCAGATGAGCAATAATTACCATAAAACATAGGGTCGCATTCCACTCTGAAAGGCAGAACAGAGGAATATTAGAATTCCAACCAGAACTTACAACAGCGTTGGGAGAGAGAATGAACGAGACCAAAAGTTGCACAATCAGTTCCGTGAAAAACTCAGAGAGTGTACAAAATGGATAAAACCGAAAACTTGGCGTTCGAGTGTTAATTCGAGCTCAGACTTTGATGGCAAACACTCAAATTCACATCTTTTGTTGGCAAGGTCTCAACCTCGCAAACGATTGCAACAAGTTAATTATCTAAATCATTAGGAGGAAATTATCTATTAACCCTTTCCAGCACGCTACCTTTTAAAGACGGAGTTTTGATACAAAAACAAAAGTTGGGCAGTCTAATTAGGCCTAGAGGAGAACACAAGTAAAATTTTGTGAAGATAGCACTTATCGTTTTAATTCTGTGGATGTGCCCAAAGTGGCACACTGATTGAACAGAGCTTCGAAAAGAGTGCTGAAACGAGCATTGTTGTCAATGAACTGACCGCTGAGATGCGAAGAAACAAAGAATACAGACTCTCAGTTGTCCTAGATTATCGGTGAGCTCGCTCGGGCACACCTAGGGTTCGCCGTTTGATTTTAGGCAAAATTTCAAGGTAAAAATTTCAAACTAATATAGAATAAAAAGATGAACATACAGCTAAAAAATAACATAGAAATTTCTTTTCAAACAATTCCTTTTATACCCTAAATTATATCTGGAAGATTTCTTTGAAAAATGACGGTCTTAAAAAACTAAACATGGCTAAAATATATGGACTGGTTTGTGTTGAGCTGCCATCTACTATAAATAAAGAAGGTTCAGAGTAACCTATAGTAACCTATAAATCCTTTTTCATTCAATTTTTCTGTGCGTACAGAAGGAAATTTTTAGGCGTGTCCAGACAGGACACACTTTGCCGCAAAGGATTAAGGGGGAAAAAGTGCTACTTTGATATCAAGTATCAAGGTAGCAGTTTTTCCCCCTTAGCCATTTTCTATCTTGTCTTCCTGGACATGCGTTCATTCTACTTGAAGCGCCCATCTATGGGACACGAAGTTCTGACAGCCGGAACACAGCATGAAATTTTCATGCTAATCTCGCCATACAGCGGAAGTTGGAGTTAGTTGATAATAATTTGATTAGATAATTAACTTGTTGCAATCGTTTACGAGGTTGAGACCTTGACAACCAAAGATGTGAATCTGAGTGTTTGCCATCAAAGTCTGGGCTCGAATTAACACTCGAACTCCTAGTTTTCGGTTTTATCCGTTTTGTGCATTCTCTGTTACATTTTCGCTAAATTGATTGTGCAACTTTTGGTCTCATTCATTCGCTCTCCCAACACTGTTGTAAGTTCAGTTGGAATTCTACTATCCCTCTTTTCTGCTTCTCATAGTGGAATGCGACCCTTTTTTCTATGGTAATTATTCCTCATCTGGATGAGTACTATCACCCCTCTTAATTTGTAAAAACAATTTAGAATCACCCTGTATAGTAATGTTACCGTAAAAGGCCGAAAATGGAGAATGTCGACATTCTTCAAATACTTCGGGGAACGACAGAATATTTGGTTATATTCTTGCAAATAAAAAAATTTAATAATTTTTAAAACTTATTTAAAAACACAAAAAATATATTTTTATTCAACATTCATCATCAGTGCATCGCGAATGTCGACATTTGCTAGTGTAAGTGAAAAACAAGGATATGCGGCAAATATTTGGGATGTATATGATATATATATATATATACATATCATTGCATACAACAAGCGATTCGGTGAATGTTGAAATTCTCCAGATTTCGGTCCTTCACAGTAACAATAACATCGTAAATCGCACTATCAGCCACTCTCTTTCCTGTAAGACTTCCATCCTTTGCAGAACAGACTCAAATTGTTTCGTAATAAAAATAGAAGAAGGAAGTCTTGAGAGTACGATTGAAAGTTGTTGAAATTTAAGGCGAACAATTTATTTTAAGTTACTTATCACGACTTTACAATTAGGAATTTGTGAACGGCGTCCTGCTTGTAGCATACTATGAATTAGGATCAATTAGTGAGTGAGCTGTTTGTTGCGAAATTAGCGATTAATAATGCACTTAACTTATTATAAGCATCAAATAAATTACTTTAAGGCAGGAAGATATTTCTCGAGATTAAAACATATTTCCTTCAAAGGTAAATACTTAGTGCTAGAGTATGATATCTACAAGCTATGCAGTAAAATTATTTAGTATAATGTCTTAGTTGAGCACTATCTTGCTAATTATATACACATTTTAGTTGTTCTCTATTTTTCTCCTGATGCTACTTTAAGATTTATTGCAGGCTCTGTTGAAGGTAAAACCTAACTAGCCAGAATAAAAGCCCAGCTAAAAGGTTTCCATATTGGCTGCCAGTGTTAGGCTAAACATTGTGACATACAATTCTGAGTAGAAAGAAATTTAAAATTATTTTTTACCACCAGACGACCTAATACGAATATTTTCCTGCTTCGTATGCGTAGAGTAGAGATTCCAAGCCCCCCCTTTCTTTTGCATCTACCCTTTTAAAAAAATGCTTTTCTTCTTCATGTACTTCCTTACAGTTTTCATTAATATATAAAGCATACAACATAATAATAGACCAAGTAATTAGCTATAAATAACACAAATTAAGAATAGGAATAACTGTATTGGAAAAATAGATTTATGTTATATTATTTTACAAAAATAA